GTGGGTTTATCGTGGCACTGTCTCCTCCCCCCTGCCCCATGCCTCAGATTGGCCGAAGGGCCCTGCACTCCATCACTGATAGGTGAAAATGGATGTCGATACAGCTACACCCCTTTCCACTAACTGGCTGAGAGGGCTGCCATGCAACCATGCCCCTTGCTGCTGACTGCTTGAAAGGCGTGGGAGTGGCATGACAGGCAGCCCTCCTTTCCCCGCCACCACCCAAGCCAGCTACACTGGGGAGCCAGAATTTTATTTTTATTAAGTTCTTTTTCCTGTGGATTTTGCAGAGATCATCTTATTTCACAATTTCCACAAAATCACGATTTCAGTAGGTACCTAATGATATCTTTTATTAGACCAACCGCACAGCTGGGGTAGTCTTAGATAAGCCTTCAAATGCAGCGTAATCTTCTTTAGAATAACAACTAGAATTAGCTGTTATTAATTAACGAATGTTGACAAAACTGATTTGGCCTGGCTTTGTTTAAATTTATGTCTGTATATCTAGATAAGTTCAAGAGTATGTTCGCAGATCACCCAAGGCTCCTAAGTATGAATAATGCATGTTGTGGGTACAGAAACCAACAATAGCCAGGAAATCTAAAACTACATTAGATAACATTTTTAAAAAATAAGTAATCAAAATAATAATAATAAAAAAATCATGCCCGCAATGGTAAAAGTTAAAACTTTAATTTTAACCTCATATTTTCCTGGCTTTTGCCACTTTGCCCAACACTTACCAATTTCCATAGAACTTCTTCACTTTAAAGCACTTTCCACACATCATGAGAATTAATCAATCCCCTTGTAAAATAGAAATAACCCTCCTCCAAATCTTAGATGAGAAACTGAAAAGAAAATATTAAGTAATTTGCCCAGAGTTACAAAACAAGTATCAGTGCTAGGAGTAGAAGGGTGAATGTGGTTTTTTGCATGTTTAAGTGTATATGTACAAAAAGGCAGCAACACAAATGGGACTACAACCATTCTCAAATGAGCACAAATTTAGGGTCACGCTATCCCCTCATATAAAGACACTGAAAGAAGCATAGTGTTTAGATGATTAAAACCATGGTTCAGAAAGCATTACATAACAGACTGTTATTACCTTCTTCAGAACGTAGGAATTAAGCTGTCCTAGTCCTCTGGAATTTTGTCCTGCTAGTAGTATGAGCTACAAAAAGAGTGTTGGCATTATATATCATAAATCTCAGACCTTAACTATTCTACTATGAAGGATAGCAAATTAAGAATGATTTTCACTTCAGTCTCTCTTTCTCTGTTTGATAGACCTTGCTAATGTTGCATCCAATATCCTTTATTAGGAAAGATTGCCCCCTAGTGAAATTTAAAATTAAGTTTTAAAACAATTGCAATAAGGATTACACTGATGAAAACAAAAATTAGATTTTCAAGGTACTTTGAATTATTAGGCTAACCTTTATTTCCAGATGAGCAACAGGTGAAATAATAATTCAAACAACACTAATTTGTGAATTATGCCATGCAAAGATCTTTGGGTTTCTTTATATTCTAGGATACCGCCATCAGGAATTGCAGAATGACCAAAGAGGGACTTTATAGCAGTAGTGAGAACATCTAATGGTGCCTATGTCCACTGGGAATTAAAAAGTTAAACTGAGGTTGAAAGAAGAGTAAAGTATAATGTTGCTCATAGCAGGTTAGTCACTCAATATTATTGGCAAGGGGCTAAAAAAAGTATGAGTACACTACCTTAAGCTAAGGACATATAAAAAAAACTTCACCAGTGGAAGAAAGGGAGCAGAGCTTTCCCCACGCAAACACTGCTCCATAGTGACATGATTCTTACCACATGGCTTGCAGAAACTAACCCATTCTATCACTGAGGACAAAACTACCAGTGTTTAGCTTTCATTTGCTGTGGGGTAAGAGCATGCACACAGAAAAGCTGGCACACAGTAAATCTGTTTACCAAGCAGTAAATTTTATGCCCATACATACCTAACTGAAATACTATATGCTCAATACATGCAAGTAAGATCCCAAAGGCCTGTCTAACCAAGCTGTTTGAGTTTGAATGCACAAAATATGGAATTTCACTTAACACTCTGGACTATAAAATGAAATGAATGCCATGACATGGTACACAGAGAAGCCCCAACCTTGCAGTAACACTGGGAATCATGTATAACAGGGATATTTAAAGGATATTTTAATCATCCAGTCCTGCAAACTGGATGAGGTGCACAGGGCCAGTCTGTGGGCCAGATGCAGACATTGCATGCAGTGTGCATCCTGGACTGGCCGTGTGTACTGCTGGCAGCACATGCAGACTCCAGCTCTGTATGCCTTATGCAGCACGTGCTGGCCAGACCTGTTCACAGCATGTGGCGGCATAGGGCCGGTCCAGAACACATACTAAATGAAGCATGCAGAGCTTGTCTGGGGCACACGCTGCATGTGACGCCCATGCTGGACAGGCCCTGTGCTCTAGCTTTGGGATGCAGGGCCAATTTATGACTTGTGCCCCAGTTTATGCCCAGATTGGCCCTGGGCCATGTGCAGCCAATGCTAGATATGCTCTGCACGTTGCAAACAACATATGGAACTGGAGCCAGGATAAGCTGCATGCGGTGTACCTTTCAGAGCCCCACAGGCTGGATGATCAAGGCTGCAGACTGGATCTTAGAAACCCTTGGTGCATGAAGTTCACAGACAAAAAGGTAAAGAGACCCCTCTCAAACCTATTCCTAAATACGTTTGCTACGCCATAAATCACTGATCATTTTGAAAGGACATCACCAGCGCCATATAAACAGCAACGGTGATAAGACAGTTCTTGTTACAACTCAAACAAGTGTGACTTTGCTAATGGGTGGGTTTGCTTTAAGACACCTGCATGAAGATAGTGTCCCCTGAAAATATACTACAGCTGCTTGTGGGTTTGGTAGATCCTTTAGGAATGAATTCCAGTGAGAAAAGTCATCATAAACTGGCCAGAGTTTAAGTTGATTTTAATAGTCTCAGTGTCAAACTGAGACAATGAGATAGTTTGCATACCTGCTCACAGATCCCAGCTTATAGAGGTTTCGGTCCAAGGACACAGCAAAGGTACCCGTAAGAGGGACAGTGCTGCTTGCTCAGTAAGGACAAGATAATTCCACCTCTGTCATATACCTGAAAAAAATCAAACACATTTGTTCATGTTTATATACTTCTCTATTACAGGGGTGTAGGTTGTAGCCGTTTTGGTCTAAGGACATAGGCAGACAAGGTTTTTTGCGTAAATCTGATATCTTTTATTAGACCAACTTAATAGTTGGAAAAAAATTTCTCAGCAAGTTTTTGGGTTTAAAAACCCTTCGTCAGGCTGGGGAAGTATCTGCAGTTGGTGTGTGCTATTCATTCCATCCAGGAAGAGCGTATACCAACTGCAGATGCTTCCTCAGCCTGACAAAGGGTTTTTAAACCCAAAAACTTGCTGAGAAATTTTTTTCCAACTATTAAGTTGGTCTAATAAAAGATATCAGATTTACCCAAAGAACCTTGTCTGCCTATACTTTTGTGCACACTTATCCCCTAATTCAGAATCAGAACAGCATGTAAATGTATGCTCAAGTCCTAGTTATGTCAACAGACTTCACATACTTAAATGTTGAACATGTCTACATGCTTATCTGAACAAAGATGGACTTAAGAACATGCTTAAGTGCTTTCCTGAACTTGCTCAAATCTCTTTTCTTGCTAAATGCAATCTCGTCATTACGGTAATGGGATGACTGCATCATTTACATAACAAGGGAGTGATTAAGGATCCCTAATGCAGTGTTTACTGATCCACATTCTAACAACTCAAATGGATCACATTTTAAAAGGCAGATCATCTTAACAAAATCTTCCTTCTCATTCACTGTCATATGAATGTCCCTATGGAATCAAGGCAATTTCTTATGAGAAAAATAACTTTAAATTGTGTGATTTTTAACAAATTTTTCATTGATCTACTATTGGATCTATTATAGATCCACTACCAGTCCCACTAAAGACCTGCCTTGCAAAGAGTCTGAAACACTGGCTCTTTTTATTTCAAAGTGGAAAAGTGCAATTTTTCCCTGTAGCTCAAATGTTAAACCAGTTCTCCTTCAGTTTCTAACAATGTTAGATTTCACATGCCTTTGGGATATTAAGAGATATTTTCCCAAAATTTATAAGCAACCGTATCTCTGACACAACTCAAGTGGATCATTTTTATTCAGCATCCATTAAAAGTTTTTTTTCCTAGCAATGTGAAATTCCTACTGTGCTTTAGCCCACATTTTCAAACATTTATCAATTCTGTAATTTTCCAGCCAGTTCCTTTTCTGACGTAACAACTCACCCCTTGAGGAAGCTGAGGTTGAGGCAAAGTTTGACATTTAAAGTCCGCTGGATAGACAGTGTTCTGGATGTTTTTAAAGTGGGAATTTTTCTTTCATGAACATATAACCCAAACATAACTGAAGCAATTTGCCCAGAACTTAAAAACAAAAAATGGGGAAAAAAAATCCTTCTTCAAAACCATATTTCAGTCATGGAAACTTAAGTCTAGAATCAAAATTTGCAGAGAGGTACAAGTAAAAGCAAACAATGGATGATAATTAAAACATTTTGCAACTGTACTGTACTGTAACAGTCACTACCAGAGAACCCACAGCCTTCCCAATATTGCCTCATGTGATTTTTAAAGACACTTATTTACCAGCTGCTTTTTCATCTGATAAAATGATAAAGGAGTAAGACATGCATGACAAAAGTTTGTGGTTGAGGAGTTCAATGGGGCATGCACAGAGCCTAGTTACTAAACATCACAGCTCTGTTACGTATCTGCATGGTTTATCTAATACACCATGAAAATGCTTTGTATTATTGTTACATGACTGTCAACAACGTCCAAAAATAAACTTCATTGTAAGGCTGTGGCAAATAGCGTGACAAGGAGAGTGCAGCATATGTTTTCAAAAAAAGAGTGCTCTACAATGGCAATACCTCGTATTTACATTATCGTTTAGTCAACATTCTCGTAACACCCTTGGCACAGATGCAACATGAAGAGGGAAGACTTATTAATAGGCAAGGAACAAAGGCATAAATGTGAGAAGCATCACATGATCACTTTCCTATTCTGGCTACATATTATCTAACAAAGGTCCCAAACTGTGTTAAGTCTAGCAACATGTACTGAGTGCAGTCAATCAGGCCTGCGTGAAGCGGCTAGTATTCACTTCAGATTCAGCCAATTCGGGGGACAGTGATTAGATTCGGTGATTCGAATCACTGCCCTAAATCGATTCGGCCGAATCTGATTTGGAGGTTCAGCTGCTGCCAAATCAGCTGAACCTCTGAATCACACAGGCCCATCCCCCGCCTGCCCCAGCTCCCGGCACTTGGAAAAAAAAAGTCCCTACTCACCAGCTGCTGCCTGGCAGGGGGCCGATGCCTGCTGACCCCCACTGCCCCACACTGCGTGGGGGGCTCTGCAGGAGCCCCCAGAAGCCCAGAAGCTGCTGCAGCAGCTGGTGAGTCTGGGGGCAGAGGGCGGGGGGTTGGGGGATTTTCTTAAAGGGCTGGAGCTGGGGCAGTCAGGGCAGCCATGGGGGGCTGGGACAGTGGGTGGGGGTCGGGGGGCTTGTGACAGAGCCCCTCACACAGCATGGGGTAGTGGGGGTCAGTGGGGATTGCCCCCTCCGCCCAGCAACATCTGGTGTGTGTGGGCTTTTTTTTTAAAAGGCCGGGAGCTAGGGCCAGGCGGGGCAGCCATAGTGGGGCTGGGAGAGCAGGCAGGGGATGGGGCCTGGCAGGGGTTCCTCCACGGTCCCCTCCCCCCTCCTCAGCCCCTCCCCCTACTTACCAGCTCAGAGTCCAGGTCCAGCTCCCTGCTGCAGCAGGCGGGGACTGCCTGAATCATCTAAGCTCTCTGAATCCTTTCTGAATCGATTCAGACCTTTTAATTGGTCCCCAATTCAATTCAGATTCAGAGATTTGGCCACCAAATCGGGCCAAATCTCCTCCAAATTGAATCAGCACCCGAAGCTTTGCACAGCCCTGTTTCTGATCTCACTTATGCTGGTGTAAAACTGAAGTTACTCTGCCAATGTCTATGGAGCTACACTGGTACATGTGAGTAGAGAATCAAACGCAGTGCACCTCAGATGGCAATTCATGCTCACATACTTTCAAGCAAATGTGGTGCCTCTACACGTAAGGCGTTTTGTAGAACCATGTTCTTAATCTTTAGCTGTTCGTTAAGAATGCACTGGCATTCAATGAAAAGGTTTTCTTGCTTTGCTTATATTTACCTCTGTCTGTGTTCTCTTCCTCGACAATTCCCTCCTCCTGTTATGTACAAGAGATTACATAAGGGAGGGACAACAGTTCTCATCATTAAGAGCTGTCCTCTAGTCATTGCAACAACAGCTGCAGCAGAATAGTATATGGCAAAGCTGGTGGAAGAAGTTGACAGTAACCACAACCACTGCCTTGGGAGAGGTTAAAGCTAAGGGAATAAACCCTGAAAGAAAATCCGGACTGGAGCACCTAAGACAGGCGATTAATTCAATCTTCTTTCTGGCAGCCCCTACAACTTTCCTGGCCCCACATCATATTGGTTCTACCTTTCCAAAAGATAAGTCGGCAAAGTTGACAGGGTGATTCTGATGCTTGGGCAATTCTTGATCACCTAGCAAACACCCAGGCTTTTCTGTCCTGGAGAAGTTACTTCAGTTTCGCCAACATGTTGAAACAAACAAGAGTCAACAATTACCAGTTATAAACCATGGATTGATTGGCATAGATCCAGGTGCCAGAGGTTGTCACTGATGGTGGGAGAAGTCATTGAACCTCATTGGAAAACTACTGCCCACTTCAAGCTGGGCAGTCCCCAACCAACAAGGTGTTTTCCTGCCAGTCTGCTGCTTTAGTGGCTGCTTGGAGCTTAGAGATTCAACTTCAAAGCAGACTGCTACTGTGCACCACCAGCTACTACAAAAATGCAAGGAAAAACTTTCAGTCCTATAGATTAGAAGTTGCAATGTACATACAATGACCCCAGGTATATCCGATGGCCTCCAAACCATTCGCTATGCACATAAAACTGCAGTCACTGATGCATCACTCCTAAGACTGAATGCCAATATTGTTGCTCTACAAGAGACCAGACTACCAGGGACTGGCTGCCTAAAAGAAAAGTAGTACATCTTTTTCTGGTGTGGTAAACAGCCCAAAGAAATTGGATAATATGGTGTTGGCTTTGCACTCAAAAATAACTGTTGTTTGCAATAAAACCCTGAAACAAGGGCTCCAAAAGATTAATAGTGCTTTGACTCACTACTGCCTCTGGTCCTGCCAATCTCTTATGTGCATATGCCCCTAATCTCACTGCTTCATCTGAATCAAAGGACCTCTTCCACGATGAGCTTAGTGCTTTAGTCAGTCACATAATGAAACAATCCTCGTGCTTGGAGACTTCAACACAAGGGTTGGTGCTGAGCACAATGCCTGGCTGCACAGTTTAGGCACCAATGGTATCAGCAAAATGAATGAAAATGGACAAATGTTTTGCTTGAGCTTTGTTCATGCAATGAGCTATGTATAACAAATTATTTCTTCAATGTGAAAGCTCAACAAAGTACCTTGGTGCCACCCACGATCTGGACACTGGCATGAACTCAGCTTGATTATCACCCACTCACAAGACTTCTGTGATGTAATCCTCATGTCATCCCATCAGAGTACTGACTGATAGTGATCATTCATTGGTATGCACTAAAGTCAAAGGGTGTCCCAGGAAACTGTACAGGAACAAGAAACTCTCCTTACTACAAATCAATGCTATGTGACTGAAAACTGAAGACACATCATCTCGATTCATCAAAACTCTCCAGGGCTCTATCATCTCTTAAGCTGTGTAATACTGCTGAGGAGAAATGGGTTCAGCTCAAAGGAACCATCTATCAAACTGCCTTGGACTCTTGCGTACCTTGCATCGCAGCTCAAATGATTAGTTTGATGAGAACTAATCTGAAATGATCCCACTCATAGAAAAGAAATGGTCAGGTCTCCTTAAATACAAGTGTGACCTTAGCTACTCCACCTTGCAGGCACTTCAAGAGATCCAGCAAAAGGTCAAATGTACAGTGAGACAGTGTGCAAACAATTACTGGCTACAATTGTGCAAAAGTATCCAAAAAGCTTCTGACCAAGGCAACATGCAAGCAATGTATGGGAGCATCAGGAAAGCTCTCAGGCCTGTTCTGAAGAAGACTGCCCCTTTAAAATCCTCCACAGGTGAAGTCATCAAGGACCGCAATAAGCAGATGGATCGATGGGTTGAACATGACTCAGAACTCTACTCAGGAAAATGTGGTCCGTGACTGCTCTCAATACACTTGACAGCACTTGATCATGAACCTACCATAGACTAAACAGAAAAAGCCACTGATCAGCTTGCTTGGGGTAAAGCCCTAGGTATAGATTACAAAGCAGCTGAAGTTACTAAGTGCAGAAAATCCAGCTTCCTTCTAATATGTATGTACTGGAGAGAAGGGGAAGTTCCTCAGGATATGAAGGATGCAAGCATAGTCACTCTGTACAAAAACAACAGTGATATAAATGACTGCATAATTATCATGGTATATCCTTACTTTGCATCATTGGGAAGCTGTTTGCCAAAGCTGTCCTGCTACAACTGCAGACCCTTGCAGACAGTCTACCCTGAGTCTCACTGGGGTTTCAGATCCAGTAGATCCACGACAAGAGATTACATTCTCCTTGAGACTACAACAAAAGTGCAGTGAACAAAGAAAATCTCTGTACATAGTATTTGTCAATCTCACCAAAGCCTTTGATCTCGTCAGCAGAGATGGTTTGTTTCAAATCCTGAAGATTAGCTGCCCTCCTAAGTATCAAGTCCTTCCACGTCAGTATGTGTGAAACAGTGCAGTTTGATGGGTCTCATTCAGAAGAATTTGAAATCAAGAGCAGTGTCAATCAGGGCTGTGTCCTAACTCTGTCACTTTTGGGGATTTTCTTCACTGTCCTACTCAAATATACATTTAGTAGCTCTTCAGAAGTATACCTCCAGACCAGATCCAATAGGAACCTCTTTAACCTTGCTCGTTTCAAAGCAAAAATGAAAACCCAAGAAGTTCTTGTCCATGAAATGCTCTTTGCCAATGATGCAGCAGTGTCATTCAGAAGCAGGACTTCAAAATGGTGGACGGGTCATATCCGACCTGGGGGGGAGTGGGCAGCAGAGTCCCCCAGGGCTCGGTCCTTGGGCCCGCACTGTTCAATTTCTTTATC